AAACTGGTTTTTTTCAAACCGGATAAAAAAACCGGTTTTTTATCCGGAAAAAAAATCCAGGTTTTTTAAAAAAACTGGATTTTTATCCGAAAAAATCCGGTTTTTTTTTAAAAAACCGGTTTTTTTGCAAACCGAAACCGGTTACACCGGTTACACCATCCGGCCCTCCAAACCGATTAAGATCCGATCCGGTTTTTTTTAAATCCGGTTTTTGGGTTGGGAGAAAAAACCGGATCGGTTTTTATCCGATCTGGATCGGATTAAAATCCGGCTTCTGTGCATCTCTAACAACCAGTAAAAATGACACAAATAAGATTATATTATAGGTAAATTAAAAAATATAAAATAATGTTATATTAATACAATTTTATAAAACCAAAATTCATATATATTTTCTTATATATTAAAATTTCAGTATTGTTTTAAAACTTATCTCATAATTAATTAATGGATGCTGACTCGTTAATGGACCACAATAAATGATTAAAATGTGTCAAAATAGTAGATATATGCATATATGACTATCCGACCATTCAACAATGTTCTCAATAATTTTCAAAAAAAGAAAAACAATGTTGTCAAGATTTTATCAATTTGGACCACAAGAAGGGATAGTTGAGGTTTTCTGTATTATTAATTAGCTGCTCTAAACCTTCTCAAATATAATAATATTGATAAGAAATGCAATATATTATCATTTTTATAAATTCGGATTAAGTATAAGATAGTATCTATTCAAGAATTCCGCTCAATTCTTTGTGTAACTAATATCCCTAAATTCGACCTAGACGTTACGACCAGATCTCAAAGATCACACTGACAAAAAATCTTCAAATCATAACATCTTAAGATAACATTACATTACATAAATTCATAAGATGATTGATGTCAAAATAAAGTTTAATATCTCACATAAAGAATATCCCCAAAAGTTCAAATACATGATTATTCAAAACTTGATTAAAGAAATTTAAAATAAAATAAAAGTTCGGTAATAATCATATTGTGCTGAATAAAAAAAATCGCTAGTTTATCATTCAAGTATCAAAACGATCCCAACAGTCGAGAGAATCTGAAAGGAAGGAAAACTAAGGATGTGAGCTACAGAGCTTAGTGTGTCCTGTAAGTGCGAGTCAAACAACACACGATATAACAAACAATTAATTACACAAATGCCGATCATACAAGTTAACACAAATTACATAGAGTTATTACAGCAAAAGTCATACAGATGCGACTATATGTTTTTCTATTTATTAAAATCATTTTGTCAAATTCCGATTTTCAGGGCCAAATTTAGAATGATTTGAAAATTTAATACCGATTTATAGTTTATCTAAAGTAGAAGGGTTTTTAACATAATTAGCCCATGAGTTGTTTAAAAACAACTTTCCCTCTTTTTCCAGTCGTACAACCTCCTCCCCCAATTTTATTTCTTTCTTTTTTCTCTCTTTATTTCTTTCTCAAGCATTCATTGTTTTGGATTTTCTTTGATTCATCGCAAACCGAGTGGAGGTGTGCGACACCTCCAGTACCAGTGTGTTCGTCTCATCGATCTCGTTCGTCCGATCTTTGGTTCATTGTTTGTTGCCGGCATTATCGTTTTCGGGGAAGGAAAAGATTCGGGTTTTATTAAAAACCCCATCTCCGTCGATCGTTTTGAGAAATCGACACTTGTAAGTGACTCCCCGAAGTTTAAAATAATTTTATTCAATTTTTTCATATTTTTCCAGCCACCGTAGGTAGCCCCACACATCGTCGTGCGCGTGTGGGAATGTTTTGGAGGGTTTGAACCGCTGAATCAGTCTGCTTGGACCAGTCTGCCTGAATTGGTTTTGACCCATTGACTTTGAATCGATTCGACCAGTTGACTTTGACTGTTAAATTTTTTGTTTACTGTTGACTTTGATCGTTGACTTTTTTTTGAATACCTTTATCCTGACGATTTTCGATGTCATGAGTTCGTTTCTGCAGTCCGTTTTGCCAAATTCTGACTTGAAAGCATTGTTTTTACATATTTTAATACTTTACAATATAATTATGTTAAGTAAATTTTAGTACCAGTTTGTTCATCTCATCGACCTTGTTCGTTTGGTGTCTTTGGTTCATCGTTCGTCACCAACGTTAGTGCTTTCGAAGGAGGAAAAGATTCGGGTTTCATTAAAAACCCCATCTCTGTAGATCGTTTTAAGAAACTGACAACTTGTAAGTGACTCTCCGTAGTTTAAAATAGTTTTCTATAATTTTTTTCATATTTTTCCGATCGTTTAGCTAGCCCAAGCGCATCGTGCGAATTTGGGACTATTCTGGGCGGTTTGAACCGCTGGACCGGTCTGCCTAAACCGATTCTGACTTGTTGACTTTGAGTCGACCTGACCAAGTGACTTTAACTGCTGAATTTTCCGTTGATTATTGACTTTGACCGTTGACTTTTTTTGAATTACCTCTATCCTAACATATTTGACGTCATGAGTTAATTCTGCAGTCTGTTTTGCCAAATTCTGACCCAAAGGCCTTATTTTTACATATTTTAGTACTTTACAATATAGTTATGTTAAGTAAATTCTGAACTTTATGAACTTAATATATAATATTAATATTACATGGCTTTATATATCATTAGTATATCATCTCAGCTTAACTCCGCTTAGTTCCGAGATATGCATGCATGCATGTTCTATTGATCGTGGGAGACGTAAGACCTAGCCAATATTGATTATCTCTTATAGGTGTGTTCTCTAGACCTATTCAATACTTTTGTCGTATTATACTATTAAGTTATATGTATTGTTTGTAAGCATGTTCATAGTGGTTACAATTAACTGAGGCATTTCTAATTTATGAATTACGAGACATCATTCATGATCTGCATATTGATGCATTACTAATTTTGCATGGGCTTAGTCCCCGTCCTGATTCTGCATGGGAGCTCGTTCCTCGTTCTGATTCTGCATGGGCTTAGTCCCCATCCTGATTCTGCATAGGCTTAGTCCTCGTCCTGATTCTGCATAGAACCTCGTTCCCCGTCATGACATCTACATGGGACCTCGTTCCCCATTTTGTCATCTGTATGAGATTATATCCCCGTTCTATTTTTGTTGGGATACTCTACAGAGGGCTAAATCCTCATTCTGATTTTTATTTCGGCTGGAAACCTCTACGAATGGCTAAATCCTCATTTTGATTTCTGTTTCTGCTGGAATCCTCTATGAAAGGCTAAATCCTCATTTTGATTTTTGTATTCAGTTTTGGAATTCTCCTTGTAAGATAATATTCATAATCTATTGTTTCGGAACGAAATGTAAGATTGTGAGTTTCTGTTGGGACATTATGCTAGTAAGATATCCTAATTTTAATATTGTTTGATTATTATTTTGTTATTATTTTATTCTTGAATTTTCTGCGTTGTTAATATTACCTGATTAAATCTAAAGGAGACTCTGAGCTTTGTAACTCACTTTTTGTTTCTATCTTTCTTTTTCAAATTATCCATATAGGACCAGTTCGGCTATTGGATGTGTGGTATCGATTATATAATGTATGGGGTTTAATATTTATTTCTCAACCTTTTTAAAATGTGGCATGTGTTTATTTCTGATTTGTATTCGGTAAATATTTTCAAAATGACTTATTAATGTTTTTCGTTTGTGGATCATTTATGAGATAAACATGGCCTCCTTGATTCAGTTGTAACTGTTAGGTTGGGTCTATAGGGTTACACATTTTAAATAAATTCATAAATTTGTGCACATTTTCTTAAAAATATAAATTAGTTGAAAATCATTCGAAATCAAAGACAGACAGGGACAAAGCCAGGATTCTAACTTAAGGTGGTCAAAATATAATTAATTAGAGAAAATGAGGGGAGCAAAGTATAATTAACCATAAAAATGAGGGGGCAAAATCAAAATAAACTGAAATTTGGAGCCCTAATTTCATATTTTCCCATACATTTTTTTAATAATAAAAATTTTGAGGGTAGTGGCCCCCAAACCTAAGGTAACTTTGTCCCTAAAAACAGATCCAACAAGAAAAAAATTAGCTGACTCTATTCCAATATTTAATGGGGTAAAGGGGAGGTAGGGTAGTAGGTTGCCCCCAACGCTAGGTTGAGAGCAACTTTTGTGGAAGAACTCCGAAAATTAGGAATTGCCCATCGTGGGACTCGATCTCACGAGCACAACGTTAAGAGCCTTGCGCACTACCAACTGAGCTGGACAGGCAATTCTGAAAACAGATCCAACAAGAAGTTAGTTAAAAGAGAGGCTTTGGTCAAACTCTCTCTAAAATCTTTGAGATCTCTCGCTTGTTTCTTTTTTTCATCTTTTTTATCATGTGACAACACTAGTCTTAAGGTTAGGGTTGGTTGTCACCCGTTGATCTTCTTTAATTTTTTTCTTTATATTTTAGGTTTTAATAAATTTATTTTTTTATGTTAGGTATTTCTCTGGTTTTATAACAAGATTTTCTTTGTCTTTTAGCATGCTTTTTATTTTTTCTATCAATAGTTGATCGTGATTTAATTTTCTCGAGATTATTTAACATCATCTCCACTGATTATGATATTGTTTATTTAGTATGCTACTGATCTTCTTGGTTTGGACCCTCATATTAGATTTGAATTCATGATTTACGTTTGGAGATAGTTATCTCACGACACTCAACTATGATTTACGATTGTCAATGATCTTTCAATAATTTCATCTACAGTTGTGACTCATTTATCGATACAGTTGAATTTGCTTGTATCGATTTTTAACTTTTTGAATGAGTTTAACTTTTTTTTCTTGTATAATCCTTATATGATCCCTAATTACGAGTTTAATTTACACTTATATTTATAAACTTCCATTATAATTTTAGATATTTCCTCATTTAAAAAAATAAAACTAATGACTTCTATTTGCATAAAAAAGACAGCTTCTATTACGAGAATAAATTAAAAAAAAAAGGTTATTACATTTTACACCACTAGGCCTTTGGGGTAAAAAACTCGGTACCTCTACATGACTTACGCTACTTATATTAAAGGGAAGAAAAAAATAGATTATACAATAAAATTACAGGAAATAAATTATACCCCAACTTTAATGCTAGCTGGTAACTTGTATGACCGGGGGTGAGGACGATGAGTTATCGGTCTCGCCACCAGTGACCGTATTCGATTTGATATACGAGCGGGCAACATCCAGCATGACCTCTACCTCTTTCTTGTACTACACGTAACGAAGGTAAAAATATTAAAATGAAACATGATTATGATCGGCAAAGAGCATGGTTCGAGTGTTCCAATTAGAGCTATACTAACCTCGTTGATGGCGCCCGACTTGATTTTCGACTGCATCACGCACCATTTCTTAAAATGTGCACCTGCGAAAAATGTCATATTGGTCTAAATTGGAAATCAAGCAAAGGAAATACAAATCTCTTCATTTCTGGTTCTTCCTTCGTATGTAGTCAAAAAAGCGTTGTAAAGAGATGAAAGCCAACAGAAAACTTACCCACTTTTATATCTAACACGGACGAATTTTCACCATTGTTCTCCATACACCACCGGCAATGTACCTGATACATCATAAATGAAATACTCTCTAATAAATCTAGAAGTTCAGAGACAAATGTATGACAACGTAAATAGTTCTTCCTTTAAGTTAGAACAGCCACCGGAACTGAAAACACTAGCGTCCTAATCGTAAGATTCACCATTGCTTTGTTTTTTTCCTCCATACTTTTTGGTTTCTTTTCTCTTCAAGAACCAAAAAAAAGTTAGGATCTTTAAGAAATTCAAGACTCCATTGTGAATTCTAAGGTAAGATTCACCATCTTCATCCTTCAAGCTTTCATTCAAACCCACTTTGGTAAGTTTTGGCCAAGTTTCACAAACCCAGGTTTAGTGGGGGTTTATGAGATTATAAGTTTTGGTTCGTTTTATGGGTTTTGACTGGTAAGAAAATGTTCTTGGCTTCTCCCTAAGGTTAAAAATGAGCTAACAACTCATTAAAATTATTTTGAATAGTTCAAGAGCAAGGAGAGACCTCCAAGGCTAGAGGCAAGGAAAAACTTACCCTTGGGGTGATTCAAAGGTGTTTTCAGTCACCTAAACTCAAGGTAACACGATTCTGACTTGTCCATACCACATGTAGTTCATTGTATATGCATTATGGTTTGTTTAGTTCATGAAGCATGCTAGAGTAATTTCTATGAAAATATTTGTATTTGTGTGTTGCAAGCATGAAAATTAGTACCTTTTGACCTCTAAGACACTAGATAAAACGTTAAACATGTTTTCTAGTCTTAGGGGAATTGTTGGGTTGATTTTTTGGGTGGTTCACAGGCTTAAGTAAGTCATTCCCAGAAAAAAGGATCGATCCCTAGACCAAAGGGATAGATCCCAAAGTTTCTGTCCAAGAAAGGATCAGTCCCTTTTCAAAAGGATCGATCCCTCAGGAAAAAAATCGATACCTCGACCAAAAGTATCGATCCAAAACTTTTTGTTGTGCATAGGATCGATCCTTCGGGGAAAAAGATCGATCCCTTGAAAGAAATGATCGATCTCTTCGTTGTTTTGCTCTATGAAAAAGGGTGAAATTGCATTCTTTAAGGGTCTGAAGTATTGAGAAATGTGGTCGTGACCTCAGCATGTTTGAATGAGTTCAATTTTGTCCATTAATTAATTTGCTTAAATACTTAAAGCCTTAATTTGGATATCATCGATAATGAACAACTAGACTAATAACATTACAAAATAAAGTGACATAAAACTAGCCTTTGTTAGATGCTCGGGACACGACTAGGAAACCTGAGTTACTCTAGTATTATGATGTTTGTCTGTTATGTTATGTTATGTTGATATCCTGATATCTTTTGTTTGGGTATGCATCTGATGCACGTAAATTTTGGGTCGTACCGATACGAATTTTGATGCACGTAAATTCTGAAATTGTACCTTATGCTCGATTAAGTAAGAGATGTGAGCTTTCGATGTACGTAAATTATGGACCTCCCCCGACCTCTAGAGGATCCGAGGTAGACTAAGGGCTTTAAGTTCCGATGCACATAAATTCTAGTTCTCACCTAAAGCTATCATGTTCTAGATAAGCTAGTGTGTTGTCTGATATGCACGTAATTCTTCTGACCACATTACTTGGCCTATCTCATGTTTGATATGTACTTATGCATGTTTATGACTCTGCATACCAACATGTTCATGTAGCGAATGCATGTAGTATCATTTAGTTATTTTTGTTGCACTGAGCTTTTGAGCTCATCGTATGAAATGCATTTTCGTACGCATGCTTGTTGAGGGGATCGCTGAAGAGGCTTTAACATTTTACATTCCAGACCAGAAGCTTAGCAAAGTATGATTTGAATTTATTTTAGATGACTTGTATTCAGTATAGACCTTGTATAATAATGTCATAACTCTATTCTGGATTTTTAAACTCTATGGTTATGTTGACTCATATATTTTGCCAACATTGGATTTGATTTCTGTTGCAAGTGTGATTTATTCTGATGTTAAAAATTGTTTTCAAATAAATTTTTGGGTTGACCATTTCGATGGTTCCGTATGGCATCGTAATCCATATATATTTGGTTCGGACTGAGTTAGGGTGTTACATTTAGTGATATTAGAGCATCTAGGTTTAGTCATTCCTAAGACCCGCGAGTCAGAGTCAGTAAGTGTCTGTGTGAGTACATGACCCTAGAGTGTCAATGGTACTTAAGATTTTGGAATGGCGATAGTGACCTCTCTTTTCCCTTATATTGCAGAGATCCGATATGGCTGATGATGATGTCCCTAGTTGAGAGGGCCAATAGGAGATTCGCACCTCCCTGGCTAGAGATTTTGGTGATGAGGTACCCCCGATTCTGAGTAGGGGATACCTACAGATGCAGGAGTCGATGAGGTGACCTTTTTCCGCAATCTAACCTCGACCCTTAGGCAGATCGTTCAAGATATTCTGAATCTGTCTGCTATGCCACCTCCCTCATCTGTACCCCTACTTCAATCGATCGCGGTGCCTCAAGAGTCTCCGATTGAAAGACTTCATCATTATAAGACGACCGATTTTTATGGATCTGGAGACAATGACCACATCTCCGCATACCAATAGCTTTGGGAGACGCTTCGTACTCTTCGTCAGTTGCACCTCACTCCCGAGGGCAATTTGGAGTGCATCACTGCCCTTCTAAAGGGTGACACAATTGACTGGTAGGAGAGTGTGGAGTTCGCGATGGAGCCAGAGAGACCCAACTAGGAGTACTTCTTGTCCGATTTCCATGAGAAATACATCGGGAGCTCATGTCGATGAATTGTTTGACCAGTTTTTGCACCTGACCCAGGAGGACAGAATCATACTCGAGCATGAGAAAGAGTTTCTCAGGCTTAGCAAGTACGCACCCGAGCTTATTTCGACTGAGGTTCACCACTGTAGAAGGTTTAGAGATGGCCTTCATTTGTATATTCAGACTCAGTTAGCAGTCAATCCCCCTCGCATATTTGCAAATTTGTCTCGCCATGCAAAGGCAATAGAGAGGATTTTGAACAAAAAGTTAAAAAAAATACAGCTTCTATTACGAGAATAAATTAAAAAAAAAAGGTTTGTGGGTACCTTCAACCTGCTACTATGAAAAAGGTTATTACATTTTACACCACTAGGCCTTTGGGGGTAAAAAACTCGGTACCTCTACATGACTTACGCTACTTATATTAAAGGGAAGAAAAAAAAAGAGATTATACAATAAAATTACAGGAAATAAATTATACCCCAACTTTAATGCTAGCTGGTAACTTGTATGACCGGGGGTGAGGACGATGAGTTATCGGTCTCGCCACCGGTGACCGTATGCGATTTGATATACGAGCGGGCAACATCCAGCATGACCTCTACCTCTTTCTTGTACTACACGTAACGAAGGTAAAAACATTAAAATGAAACATGATTATGATCGGCAAAGAGCATGGTTCGAGTGTTCCAATTAGAGCTATACTAACCTCGTTGATGGCGCCCGACTTGATTTTCGACTGCATCACGCACCATTTCTTAAAATGTGCACCTGCGAAAAATGTCATATTGGTCTAAATTGGAAATCAAGCAAAGGAAATACAAATCTCTTCATTTCTGGTTCTTCCTTCGTATGTGGTCAAAAAAGCGTTGTAAAGAGATGAAAGCCAACAGAAAACTTACCCACTTTTATATCTAACACGGACGAATTTTCACCATTGTTCTCCATACACCACCGGCAATGTACCTGATACATCATAAATGAAATACTCTCTAATAAATCTAGAAGTTCAGAGACAAATGTATGACAACGTAAATAGTTCTTCCTTTAAGTTAGAACAGCCACCGGAACTGAAAACACTAGCGTCCTAATCGTAATATCCAACTAATACTTACCTCGAAGTAGGTGCCGAATGGAACATCATGTGCCTGCTGTACAGTTTCAAAAACCTTGAAGAAGAAAGAAAATTGACTAAATTAAATTAAATGGGAAACAGTAGAATCAACGAAACCAAACAGAGAAAGATGCAAAATGCAATGACTTTTTAACAAAGAAATTGAGATGAGTCTAAGTTCATTAAATTAGAATTGACGAAATGGACGACAACGAGGTCGTACAAGCTTTTTCTTATCTGGTGATAAAACAGAATGTTGATATTCTGACATGGCAGTGTCTGGAGGACACATTGGACTGTTACAAATGGTTCTGAACGTAATCTCTCTCACTAGGCCATCATATTCGTCAGCGGCATGCCACTGTCCCATCTGAAAGTAACAGAGGAATATTAAATTCGAATTAAAGAATCGAAAACATAGGAGATGATTTAAGCATCCCAATATTTTCCCGTCAATTTCCAGTTAAAAACTCGTCAATCGGATTTTACAAAATCAGTATAGTCACTTTTAAAACTTGTGCATTATAAGAGCAGAATAACGCTAAAGGTTAATAGAATAAGCATGGAGGAATACTAAATGACCTTCGCTTACCGAAAGATTGGTATCCTTCCGTACCGAACGATACTCGTTAGTAAAACTAGAGCCGTCACTTAATAATATATTAAAGAACTGCTCAGCGGTGCATGGAAATACATCCTGCAGGAATAATTCACGAATCATAAATATACCGAGTCACAACATAATAAAACAGGAAAAGGCAGGAAAAGATGCGATGCATACGTTGAAGATACCAGCAAGAACTTCTTCTTTGATGAAAGCTTTCGATTTTTCAGGTTTAGATGCATTATCTTTGGGAGCCGTAGCTTTCCTTCTACTACCTCTAATAGAGGTGCTATGTGCTCGCAACGCAGATTCTGCCCTTTCCTACACGCCAACAAAATAAATGAAATAACAATTTCCTTGAATTGATAAATCGGTTTAAAAGGATATAATTTAAGCATAAATACACGCAAACAAGGGAAAAGATAAAAAAACAAAGGCATTAGTACAAATCAAAAGGTCTCCTTTTTCTCCTACCAGTATACACATCACCATAAATTATCCACACGACATTTCATATTTTCTACCTAGTGCAATACTTTGAAGAAATTGCTGCACAGCTACATTGGGTCTAAAAAGAAAAGGGACGGTCAACATTACTTCAATCAAGTTTATCGGGGTTTCCTTATGCACATACCTATGAAAAGGATCT